GAAAACCAATAACTACTGTGTCCATAGATTTTATTAATTTTTGGCAAGCGTTCTTGTTTTGTGGGTGAATCCAGAATTGAAAACTTATGTTCATCGATACCAAATTCTGTAGGATAGCGCATTTTCTGTGTGAAGCTATTAAATGCACAACGTAGGTCAGCAGCTGGCTTATAACATATGTCATAGGAAACTTTGAGATCATCTACCGTTATCCAAAATGTAGACTTAGTATATAGGTTATTCGATGGTACGTTGGCGAAGGAGTTTGCACTGGGGCGTCCACTAAAGTTATCTTGCTTAGATGGTATCTCTTTGGCGTTGTCTAATGGATGATGCTCTTGTATGACTTGCTGGTATACTGAGCTGCGCCGTGAGTCATTGTCATAAAAGAAACGTCGGCGTGATTTTGTTGATATTGGTGTTGGACTACAGCGTGATTCAATTATATTGGTTTCGTTTGGTGAACTAGCGTGATATTGCGCCAAGTTTTCTTTGTTGATATTATATATCTTTCGGTCCGGCCTACTTTTGAATGCCTTTCCTCTTTTGTAATATTCAATATTCAAGTTTTCTTTCCCCGAGGTTAAAATACGATTCATTTTCTTCTTTCGTGGTGCTGGTTTAATCGGAATAGCAAATTTGAAGTCCTCAGATGAATTTGGAATATTTTGATTGGGGTGCTCCGCCTCGTCATTTGTTGCTTGTGATTGTGATGCGCATTCACTAGAACTACGTGCTTCATCTGATACATCTGTTGATGGAGCAGCACGATTTAGTCTCTTCTTGCGTGGTGGTGGTTTGATTGGAACAGCGTATTTGAAATCTTCAGACGGATTTGGTATAATCTGTTTTGGTTCGTCACTCGTGTCTTGTGATTGTGCTGCGCACTCACTAGAACTACGTGCTTCATCTGATACATCTGTTGATGGGGCAGCACGACTCATTCTCTTTTTTCGTGGTGGTGGTTTGATTGGCACTGCAAATTTGAAGTCTTCAATCGGATTTAGAATATTCTGTTTTGGTTCGTCACATGGTTCTTGCAATTGTGATGAGCATTCACTTGAATAGAGTACTTTATTTGAAATCGGTATTGGCGGTGCTGGGCGTTTCTTCTTTCTCAGAGTTTTCTTAGGTGTTTGTAAAACAAGTTCAGTTGACTCTTTAACATCAATTGTTGTCAAGTCTGCTAGCGCTTCTTCCAGCAATTTATTTACTGCTGACTTTTGTGCATCGTCATCTAAAGAACTGATAGTAACTTCATGATCAAATACCGTTATAATTGACTTGTTGATATTGTCTATTGGTGTGATGGCCCTCAGTGAATTAGAGTGTACTTGCTGTAGGCGTATTTTCTTAGGATCATCGGATAACATAGAATTACTTGAACGCTTTTGTGTTGCTTCAATTATATCCAAAGGTATAACATCTCGTTTGTTATGTAATTTTTCATTGATGTTTGCGCTTTCAGGAACTTCCTTCATATCATCTGTGGTTAGTTTTTTCGGTGAATTTTTCACTGGATTAATGGTGGCTTTGGGAAAACTACAGAGTGCTTCCAACTCTTCCGTCAAATCTTTTACGAAATGTTGCTCATTAGTTAATTGAGGTCCTACTTGTTTAATGAATTTTGAATTGTCTATAAATTTATTAAAATGCAATGCTTTATCCTTTACAGAAAGCTGATTAAAGATTTCTTCCGTCACCAAGCAAGTAGTATTTGTGAATCTTTTCTGTGGCTGTTGTGGGATTATAGTTGTACTTGTATTATTGGTTATAAATTCTGTATGTGATGTTGGTGCTGAGACTTGTTGCACGAACTTATTTATGTTTTCCGTTGTTGTCTTCGTCTCTGGTGAAAGTTGATTATGTAGAGTAGTATATGGGGTTTCGTTTCCATTACGCCGAATGATTTGTACCATTTTTGCATTAAACATTTGCACTATTTGTTTAACTCTCGATCTTGACGACTTCTGTTGTGTAGAGCTTTTATTTAATTTATCTGCATTATTAGTTTCATATCTTCTTCTTAGCTCTTTTATATTTAAACGAACTACTGATTGGCGCCTATTAAGTTTTGTCGATTTTTTTCTTAGCGAAACTTGTACGGTTTTACATCTAAATTTCGCAATGAGAGTAGCTACTTTATCGGTTATTGTAGTATTGGCAGTTGTAGTTGTATTAGGGTTGAATAGCATCTCTTCATCGAAATATTCCAAAAGATTGTTTAAACTTTCAGTTGTGTTCAATGTGCATTCATTTGAACTACTTGTATCCGAGGTGGATATAAATTCATTATCATCATCATTATCGTCATCGATTTCTTCACATTTCTTTGCAGCTTCCAGGGTTATGGGTATTGATTCACGTTTTTCAGTGCACAGACGTTTCTTGTTATCGATTGCCTCAGAAGAATTAATGTACATACTGAAATCGGCGCTATTAAAAGATGACATATTGGCGACTAATTCAGAGTAAGACAATTCTTCAGTAGTTTTCATTGTAGAATTTAAAAACATGTTATTAATTTTTAATATTCGTAGTAATTGCAGTTGTAAAATGCTTCGAAAATTTTTAACTTTTGCTATAAGCGTTATGCTCTTGATAAGCTCAGACTCAAACTGTTGACTTCACAGCAGAATATCAAGATTTTTATATACATTTCACAGGTAGGAATTTAGTGATATCTTCAAAGTCGCTAATTGGTCTATTTCTTGCAAATAAACAGTTAGCTTAGGATGTAGAATAGGTAATGGCAGCTGTTCAGGTAGTAACGGTAGCAACCCATTGTGTTCCTAATGATCATTGTTTAGCGGAAATTTTTGATTTTTTGAATTAATTCAAATAATTTCGCTCATGGTCAATTGTTTAAGAAAATATTCCAATTCTTATCTTCTAAGAATTAATTAGTCGTTTAATATTAATTACAGGAAATAGATGCAGGTTGTAAATTCTGAATGATATTCTGAAAGCCTAAGGTTTTTCACTTTATTGTAGTCAAAAGAATTATATATATTAAATAATTGATTGAAAATATTCATTGAATTTTGACAAAACTTAATTTTGAAAATAAATTTTACAATAATGAACACATTGATTTTGTGTAATAATACAAATATTTAATAAATGAAATGTTTGAAATGTTTAAAATTTTATTATTAATATATGTACCATATACTTTACTGTTAATGGGCTTAAGGTTACTTATATTAGATATAAAGTACATAATTTTTAAATTATAAAACAATATAAGAAAACTATAATATATTTATATAAAAAGAGAATAAATTAAAAAATCAAATATCAAAATATAAATTAGAATAGAGCGTTGTTTTTAATACCTTTTAGTATGAGTATTTAATTATATGCTAATGTGACATAATAGTATATGCAACCTACTACATAAGCTAATAATTAAATTTATATCTAATCATATCAGTATCATGACTAAAACATATATCGGCTTCATGGATATCGTTTCCAAATAGGCGTAGTCCTAAGTTTTAAAGTTCTAAAAAAATCCGCTGGATTTTGGGCTTAAAGTTTAGCAAAACTATTATTAAACTAATCTGGATATAATACAGCTACAGAGTATTGCCGAGAATTTGAACATTGTGTTGGTGTTTGTCAATCACTCTACAACACCTACATGTGGTTCTTTGAATGTAACAAATAATAAATTCCATCCTCTAACAGATTTTTTAGATTATAGACGAAATAAGAAGGGTAAGTTGCAGGTACACTAATGGATGCGAAGTTCCTACTTTACACTAGGCAAGTTTTTCTTGCCTGGGTTCTAATAGATGATACAAGTAAATGAGATAATATTTTAAATTTACCTTATAGAAATTAAACAAGAATTATTTTTTTTCTTTTAAGACTTGTAATTTTAGGAGTAAGTATAAAAAAATAATTAAGGTAGATTATGATAAGTTCTTAAATGGTAGTTATAAAATAAATATTATTATATTAAAATGCTAGAGTCTTAATAAATGTGTAGAAAATAGGATCGATATTATTAAGTTTTTTTATATCTGTAGAATTCTAGATGAGAATTCTAGATAAGTAATTTGTAAGAAGAGATCCGATTTTTTCACGAAACGTTCTATTTTGCCAGGTTTAAATTTACTTCATGCTAGTCAAATTTGTTGTTTTTCTCAAATTTTTTTTATAAAGAGAGGAATACCTACTACTAGTTCTCTTGTCAGTCGAAAAGAGGAGGGATAACACATATCCGAATATAATTTCTATTTTCATTTGTGAATTCAGGCGGAAACAAAACTTCGGATCCTCAATAATATATATGAATAAGAATATGAATATGAATAAGTAATTACGTTATTACGTTTATTGTTTTTCATAGAAGTTGTTTCAGCCCAACGGAATTTTTATTCAACAATGTCATTCTTATATTATAATTGTTTTCTAGTGCAATTAGGTAGACCTTTATAGTTATGTTGACCGCTGATTGACATACAAAAATACATAATATATAAATAATTTAACATTCCTGTCAATAAAGAACCGCAATAAGGTATATACCAACTTTTAGCTTGTTTTTAAGTATTTGTGGTATGGATGGTTTCGCTATATTACCTTGGCAGAAGGTTTAAACCTTCCGAACAACCAAATTATACTGCCTGAGTACATTTTCTAGATACAACGTCAAATATCGCCATGTATCGCCTAAAAGATTCTTGATGGAAGAATTTTTAAATTAATGAAAGATATTAGAATTCAATATAAAGCAAAATTAAGAATATTGAACTTATATTGCAGCTGAGATGGCTTAGAATGCTTCCAAACACCGATAGACTAAACCAACTGCGTGGAATGGAGGCAGATAGCGCAATGCTCAAAATCATAAATTCTGTAAAATTTTTATATTTTTAAACAATTTAATTTCCTCTTTAATTAAAATTTATTTCTTACTTTTAAATTATTACAATTATAATAGTCTTATATAATATTTAGCATAATTAAGTAGTTTGATTGAAGTTAAATTAAACATTATTATTTTCCTTAACAATATTTTCGAGGAAAGTTAGGTTTTTAACATCATTGAATATTTGATCCAATGGCTCGCTTTTTAAGCTAAACATATCTGGACTGAACATGCTAGCATCACTGTAACGTAGAAAGTTCATAGAAAGTCGGTTCCCGAAAGATAATGTTGGCATATTGCTATTTCCAAACTTCTCCGATTCGAATTCTGGGCGGTAAAGATCACTTATTCTTGGATTCTTTAAATTTGTAGAAGATCTTCTGCAATTTGGCCATGCAAACTTACTGCGTCCTTCTAGTCCGTTGCTGTTGCCTGCTTGTAGACCCACTAACATATCATAATCCACAGAGAATCTTAGTCCACTTGGTCGATAGTATTGTGATACGGAGAACTCGATATCATCTACACCAAATCGTATTGACGATGTATTTGTATAAGATTTCCTTAGAAATGTAAATAAGTGCGCTACTTCATCAGTTGATCTTTGTTTGCCAGTGAACATTATAATAAGATCTCCACAAGAAAACCAATAACTACTGTGTCCATAGATTTTATTAATTTTTGGCAAGCGTTCTTGTTTTGTGGGTGAATCCAGAATTGAAAACTTATGTTCATCGATACCAAATTCTGTAGGATAGCGCATTTTCTGTGTGAAGCTATTAAATGCACAACGTAGGTCAGCAGCTGGCTTATAACATATGTCATAGGAAACTTTGAGATCATCTACCGTTATCCAAAATCTAGACTTAGTATATAGGTTATTCGATGGTATGTTGGCGAAGGAGTTTGCACTGGGGCGTCCACTAAAGTTATCTTGCTTAGATGGTATCTCTTTGGCGTTGTCTAATGGATGATGCTCTTGTATGACTTGCTTGTATACTGAGCTGCGCCGTGAGTCATTGTCATAAAAGAAACGTCGGCGTGATTTTGTTGATATTGGTGTTGGACTACTGCGTGATTCAATTATATTGGTTTCGTTTGGTGAACTAGCGTGATATTGCGCCAAGTTTTCTTTGTTGATATTATATATCTTTCGGTCCGGCCTACTTTTGAATGCCTTTCCTCTTTTGTAATATTCAATATTCAAGTTTTCTTTCCCCGAGGTTAAAATACGATTCATTTTCTTCTTTCGTGGTGCTGGTTTAATCGGAATAGCAAATTTGAAGTCCTCAGATGAATTTGGAATATTTTTATTGGGGTGCTCTGCCTCGTCATTTGTTGCTTGTGATTGTGATGCGCATTCACTAGAACTACGTGCTTCATCTGATACATCTGTTGAAGGAGCAGCACGATTCAGTCTCTTCTTGCGTGGTGGTGGTTTGATTGGAACAGCGTATTTGAAATCTTCAGACGGATTTGATATAATCTGTTTTGGTTCGTCACTCGTGTCTTGTGATTGTGCTGCGCACTCACTAGAACTACGTGCTTCATCTGATACATCTGTTGAAGGAGCAGCACGATTCAGTCTCTTCTTGCGTGGTGGTGGTTTGATTGGAACAGCGTATTTGAAATCTTCAGACGGATTTGATATAATCTGTTTTGGTTCGTCACTCGTGTCTTGTGATTGTGCTGCGCACTCACTAGAACTACGTGCTTCATCTGATACATCTGTTGATGGGGCAGCACGACTCATTCTCTTTTTTCGTGGTGGTGGTTTGATTGGCACTGCAAATTTGAAGTCTTCAATCGGATTTAGAATATTCTGTTTTGGTTCGTCACATGGTTCTTGCAATTGTGATGAGCATTCACTTGAATTGAGTACTTTATTTGAAATCGGTATTGGCGGTGCTGGGCGTTTCTTCTTTCTTAGAGTTTTCTTAGGTGTTTGTAAAACAAGTTCAGTTGACTCTTTAACATCAATTGTTGTCAAGTGTGCTAGCGCTTCTTCCAGCAATTTATTTACTGCTGACTTTTGTGCATCGTCATCTAAAGAACTGATAGTAACTTCATGATCAAATACCGTTATAATTGACTTGTTGATATTGTCTATTGGTGTGATGGCCCTCAGTGAATTAGAGTGTACTTGCTGTAGGCGTATTTTCTTAGGATCATCGGATAACATAGAATTACTTGAACGCTTTTGTGTTGCTTCAATTATATCCAAAGGTATAACATCTCGTTTGTTATGTAATTTTTCATTGAGGTTTGCGCATTCAGGAACTTCCTTCATATCATCTGTGGTTAGTTTTTTCGGTGAATTTTTCACTGGATTAATGGTGGCTTTGGGAAAACTACAGAGTGCTTCCAACTCTTCCGTCAAATCTTT